TGAAGCGTAGCGCAGCGCAGCAGACCCCGTTAACCAGGCTGCCTGAAGCTGCAGCTCCAGTGAGAATTAGGGCTGGGACGGGTAACCCGGATATCCGGGACGGGTGGGTAAAGAGTTGAATCCGTGTACCCATCACATTACCCGGAACCGCTTTGATCACGTGACTTATAATGTAAAATTAATTGAATGTGTTTGTTATTATTTTATTTAAGAGATTGTCGTCTTATGTTTGAGATTGTGGCCAAAACTTGCTCTGAAAACTCACAAGATATCAACTGTCGACAACTAAGCATGTCACGTGTAACATAGGTTGCATGTGCGCCAAGTAGGTAATATTTTACATGAAAAAGGATCAGGAACGCAGACATCCTCCTGTAATAGGTGTGCACATACTTTATTCAATATTATCCAGCTATAACATTCTACATGCCATATAAAAAGACTCATTCATTATCAACATGACAGGATTTAAAACGAAACTAAACCATTTTGCGTGGATATTGTTGCCTCGAATGTAACTTTGAGTTAAGCGAAACAATCTATGACCTGATGACACGTCGAATGTCACAAACGCGCTTCAAACATTAACGGCAATGGGCGACTTACTATTACTACTCTTACTACTACTATTCTTACTACTACTACTACTACTACTACTACTACTACTACTACTACTACTACTACTACTACTACTACTACTACTACTACTACTACTATATACTACTACTACTTGCTGCCTGGTGCCGTTCCACTAACCGATTTTATCTAAGATCAATCTTAGCAAGTAACGCCAATTTTACAATCGTCTTAGCTAAAAGTTACACCCGTTCCACTAACCGATCTTAGGCCGATCGTAGCCGGTCCCGATCTTACGATCCGATCCAAGCTTAGATCGAGACTCTTTCGTGCGAGAGATACAGGAATGCGAGGCACGAGTTATCTCGCATAGTCTAGCAAATGATAGAAAGTAGTTTGCGAAGTGAGTTAGATTTACGCCGCACTCAGCTATATAGTCCAGCTATATGGAGGCGGTCTGTAAATAATCTAGCTAAGATGCATAGCGTTCACTAACATGAGCATAATAAATGTATATTTATATGGGCGCCTATTCCATATCCTTGGGTATGCTCAAAGCGCTATGTACAGATAATTTACTCGAGAATATTTACAGCCGAGATTATAAGTAATATACAGAGAACAGGTTCTAAGTCTGGACTTTAAAAATGTCAATTGTGTCAGAGCTTTTAATATGTGTCTTAACTTGTCAATCAGAATAAACAAGGCGTGACGAGGCTATAACGTATGTATAATCTGTCAGTGGTCTTGAATAACACGCGGCCTGCCTTTAGAATCCCCCACCAAATATGCGCAGTGAAATCAAACATATTTGTACATTTTTGCTTCAGAACATTGTTCACTTCACGGTTGTCCCTATTCTTAACCATGACGTTGCAATATTGTTGTACAAATGTGTTATACCGACACGCTCGGTTGTGTTCCCATGACGACAGTGGTCAGACTGGCCTGACATTTGTAAGGCTTCAGTGCAGTGTTTGTTTACATCACAGAAATATACAAATCCATTTCATGGGGGACTTTAGGGGACGCTCACGGTGAAATGATCGCTCTTATTTTGCACACAGAATAGGAAAGCCACCATTTTGGTTTCTCTACGATTGATTTTAGCTATCCTAAGTTGGTCATGAGCAACTTAGACTTTGAATCTTAACTTTACGATTGACTTGGGTAAGATTGGTTAGTGGAACGGTATGCCGATCGTAACGTCACGCTAAGATTGGGATTTTAGGGGTTTACGATTGGCGTAGGGCTAAGATCGGTTAGTGGAACGGCACCCAGGACCAGTCACTTTCCACTCGCAATCGCCAAAATGTGATTTTAATAGGAAATATTAACATGAAATGTCGATTATGAAATGAATTTACAGAGACTGTCCAACACCTTGTCAGTGGATGTCCTTTCTTGGCACAAACAGCATATCTTAAAAGACATGATGGAATTGCTCGCCGCTTCTATATACTACCGTCTTCGCAATGCCTGTGGCTTTGACTGCGAGGTCTATCCATAGTACGACCCTGAACATATCCAGGACGTCATGGAGAATCATGCTTTTAAACTTCTTTGGAATAGGCCTCTTCAAAGAAATCTTGCCAACAAACCTGATCTTGTCCTTTTCGATAAAGCCAATATTAATGTACATCATTGGGATTTTCTGTCCCTTTTGGCAGCAACGTGACTGGCAAGATTCAGAAAAGCATGCTAAATGTGCGGACCCAACCTTTGAAATGTCTAGCTTGCCTCCCCATTGTTATCGTTGCCCTTGGTTTGGTAAATCCTGATCTCTTGGCGCAGATCAGGAGGGTGCCCTGGTTCTCCACTGGGAGTACAGCCCTTCTGACACTCTGGGTAATGCAGAAAGCTGCAGTGTTGGGGAGCGTTCATATTCTCCGGAAAGTTCTTGGTGGGTTCGACTAGGCAGCGTTTCCTGGGAAAAGTCCCATTCGCTGTCTGTGCTGCGTGTAGAAGAGGCAAGGGCCCTGAGTTGATGATGACCCTTACCAGCCTGACTGTGCCAGGATCACCCGAACCCTCTCTGCTGCTTGATTAATCTTAATCTGTTAAACATAATTATTAAAAATACTTTATTACCTCGAACGAAGGTAACACATAAAACAAGTGCACTCGGCATACATACAGTATGTTTACTGATCAGTTAAAAGACGAATGATAAGCAGGCTATCATTATAACATGATTTTTGCTATTATATTTGGGCACGCTCTCAATTCTATGTAAATTATAAAGCTTTGCAACCTATCCGGCTTACACGAAAAACTGGCTTGCTACGAATGAGTGAGTGCGTATGGTGCCAAGGCACTTATAAATCATTTACAATTTCCACATCATCATCACTGATACACAAATGGCTTTTAATTCTTCGATTGTTCCTGAAACTGATAGTAAGTTCTTCAGTGCTGTACGGTTTGTACATTACATTGTTTAATTACTTGTAAGTATAATGGTATACACTTTTTGTTTATACCTTCAATTGTATTGTACCTGTAAGTAGTTGGAATAAGTCGCAATAAGCGTTATAACGGGTACCCAGGTACCCACCTTTTTGGTATGGAGGATAAGCAGTTGTATATTTATAAAATTAAGATTTTGGGCCAGCGTTTATTACAATGTGCGCACTTCGTGTAAAACAAGTTCTTTCCCCCTTTGCTAACAAGTAACCTGTAGAAGCTATGTCTGGTTATTGCGAGTAAATAGAACATTAATGTTTCTTCGTCGTTTGTTTGATGTTTTACGCCGCACTCAGCAACATTCCAGCTATATGGCGGTGGTCTGTAAATAATCTAGTCTGGACCAGACAATCCAGTGATCAACATCGTTATCATCAATCTACGCAATTAGGATACGATGACAAGTGTAAACCAAGTCAGCGAGCCTGACCACCCGATCCCGTTAGTCACATGGATTGCTGAAGACCAGTTCTAACCCGGATCTTCATGGTTTGTTTCTTCTTCATCGCGACGAGCACACACAATATACATATTGCTAATGATTCTTTTGAGAGTCGCATTCAGTACTATTGTTTGCGGAAATGATTAAATAATGATTAGTAAAAGAACAAGCATCTGAAATTACATTTTTTGTCAACATTGCATATAATGCTATGGGCTCCTTTCCTTAAAAACAACACAGTTTCAGATATTAAACTGCTAAAGTGCTTAAGTTCATGTTCAAAAGCTATATCAGAATATTCAACATAGATCTCCGTACACGTTAAGGATACGGTGACACACCTGTTTATGCAAGGTGTACTACAGGTAGGGCATGGCGTGTTTACCCTTGATACGGTGACACACCTGTTTATACAAGGTGTACTACAGGCAGGGCATGGCGTGTTTACCCTTGATACGGTGACACACCTGTTTATACAAGGTGTACTACAGGTCGGGCTTGGCGTGTTTACCCTGGATACGGTGACACACCTGTTTATGCAAGGTGTACTACAGGCAGGGCATGGCGTGTTTACCCTGGATACGGTGACACATCTCTTTGTGCAAGGTGTACTACAGGTAGGGCTTGGTGTGTTTACCCTCGATACTGTGACACACCTGTTCATGCAAGGTGTACTACAGGTAGGGCTTGGCGTGTTTACACTGGATACGGTGACACACCTGTTTATGCAAGGTTTGTAATACAGGTAGGACATGGCGTGTTTACCCTGGATACTGTGACACACCTGTTTATGCAAGGTGTTCTACAGGTAGGGCATGAGCTGTTTATGCAAGGTGTTCTACAGGTAGGGCATGAGCTGTTTATGCAAGGTGTTCTACAGGTAGGGCATGAGCTGTTTATGCAAGGTGTACTACAGGTAGGGTATGACCTGTTTACCCTGGTGTCATCACTGATTTTCAGTGATCCGCTCTCATAAGTTTCATCACTATTTTGCCTCTTGACTTATACTGTTTTTCCAAGTGAAAATGTTAGAATGTATATCATTTAAATGTGGAATGTATCTGCGTATTTCTATATATTTGTACCTACTGTGTTAATATGTGTAGTTAATAGAATGTTGTCACTGTTCCTTCATGGAATTCTATACAATAAATATTTTATCTCACCCTATCTTGACCAATGGTTCTGCTTAATCAGATAACTGAGACTTCTCTGACGTTGATGATTCGATCGTCTTGATGGTTTCGTAAATCTCAGTAAGTCTTCCGCATACATTAATGCAGTTCTCCCAAGGGAACCTTTCTGATGGTGCCGATTTAGGCAATGGACGTCGACAATGATTATGAGCGCATGAGATCTTTGTCGGGATCGAAACAAGTATTTTATGTGCCCATCACACACTACGCAAATACAAGTGAACATGACCCAAACAAACACAAATACAAGTGAACAGGGCCTAAGGAGCAACAACAACAACAGCAGCAGCAGCAGCAGCAGCAACAAGTCAAAATAACAATGATCTCAACAGTATTTATTGAGCTTATTTGAGAGAAAAACGCTTTATTCAATAAAAGCTGACTGTAGCCCCTGTTTACAATGTCTTTAACAAGTTCATGTTACATGGTGCACTAGTTACTATATTTGACATGGAGTTAAGGCTGGGAGTTTCTGGAGCACGGAGGATATATCAGCGTTCACCGACCCGGCGAGTTAGCGAAGGTCCCAGAACAGAAACTCCCAGAACCTTCCAGAGTATATAAAAAGTCTCATCCCCCGTCATTTCCCATTACAAGCAGGTCAGCATTTGTGTCAAGAATATGTTACACCTCAATCATATGTGATGGTCGTGATAGTGAATTTGTTCCGCCCCTCTATTTTGTACTGTTATGCTATTTCCTCTGTGTTCTTCTAAACATTGTTAATATTAGAGTACAATTGTTAATTATACAAACATTGTTGGTTCCACATTGTATTGATGATCTCATTCGTTGTGATCACCAGGCATTAGGTAGGCAGGTGGAATCACTCTATAGAGCGTCGAGAAACTATTTCACACATTCAAAGCAGTACAATAGAATAACACACAATTGCATCTAGAATATGTGTTATGAATCAAGCTACATTTTATAATTAGGATATGCAAATAGCGATATACAGCAGGTTTCACTCATTCAGTAGAAACATGAGACTATAGAACATAAAGTTACATGATGTACACACAGTTACTTCCCTTAGACCATATAAGCGACATACATTCCCATGCATTTCAGTTGTTGATTATAAGCATGGTCGTTGATATTGAATTGGTATGTACATCTCTAGGGTGAAATGCACATGGACAGGTACTTTGTATTTAGTTACTTTTCCTGATTAACGCTTTCAAGTCTTAGGTTGTTTGTCGCGTGACAACAGCTGTCATCGATGTACATTCAGTTGATAATAGAATGTAGTATCTACCACATGAGGTCAGTGTGACCTATTCCGGTTGATGTATTCACAGTTCCATCACCCACTAACATTCTGTGTTTATGTTTGGATACTGAATATGAGGCCAGGTATGTTTCCACTCAGGGCTGGTGTCCCTGAATTACCCTGATGGGAGTCTGGAAAGGTTATCTGAATCCCATCAGTGGTTACAGTCTGCTTTACATTCACAACCTCGCAAGGATCCCGTGCCACTATGACGCTAGTACACCACTGTCCCCCGTGACCCAACTGATTCCCGGGACCCAACTGATTCCCGTGACCCAACTGATTCCCAGGACCCAACCGATTCCCGGGACCCAACTGATTCCCGGGACCCAACTGATTCCCGGGACCCAACTGATTCCCGTGACCCAACCGATTCCCAGGACCCAACCGATTCCCGTCATCCAACTGATTCCCGGGACCCAACTGATTCCCAGGACCCAACCGATTCCCGGGACCCAACCGATACCCGGGACACAACTGATTCCCGGGACCCAACTGATTCCCGGGACCCAACTGATTCCCGGGACCCAACTGATTCCTGTGACCCAACTGATTCCAGTCACCCAACTGATTCCCGTCACCCAACTGATTCCTGTAAGCCAACTGATTCCCTGGACCCAACTGATTCCCGTAAGCCAACTGATTCCCGTCACCCAACTGATTCCCGTGAGCACTGTAACCCCCGTCATTGTTACGTATGTCCACATACACAGTGTATGTGGTGCCTTTTTGCAGTGGAACCCACTCAGAGAACACAATGTTAGTCAGTTGTCCACGCCCGGGACGTTTCACCTTAGTGTCAGGTAGCGGTACAGGTGTCAGTGGACGATGTTTCGCATAAAGTGTAATACTCAACGGAACCTCCATGTCATCATATCCACCATACAGCTGAAAACCTTTCAGTTGAATCCTGTGATCGACAGAAAACGAGATAGCTACTAAAGCCATATTGACACATGACACAGATGCAAATCTTTGGACGTAATTACAAATGTCAGGTTCCTGTAATTGCTTTCGGTTTAAACCTACAAATGGGGAAATGTCAACAGTAGAGTCAATAGATCTGTCCATAATTCTAACTCTCTCCTCCGCTGTCAGTAATCCAGATGGGCCCACAACCTTCACTAGATACTCCAGGGACAGGCTGGTAAACCGGATCTCATACCTCATGTCACCCAGGAGTCTTCGTCTGTTCTCAGGCGTGTCACTCACACCTTCCTTCCGGCATCTTTCCTTTGTCCAGGACAGCACTGCTTCAAATATATCTTTCTCTTTCAGGTTCAGAGTCTCCGATTTCAGGAACTTCCCCAGACAATCAGAGCAAAGACCCACAAATCCTGGAGACTTGGTGACTCTCTCACCTCCTTTAGTCAGGATCACAAGGGCCTTCTGTTCCAAGTCCAGTTCCCCGTAACCATGACACTGCTCCAGGATCTGGCAGACATTGTCTTCTGACAGGGACTCCTCCAGGAAAGTTACACAGATGTCGTACAATGCATCAAGAGAATATTTCCTGGATGTGTACATTAGGCCCGTGACTATTTCAGCGTTGATTCGGGCCTCGTCTGTGTACATATACCTACAATAAATAATAATGGTTCATTTGGAGACAAACTTGTTCTCGCATTAACATTACTTCTCATGAATATTGCATGTCATATCGGGGAGGATGTGAGTGATAAAGATGGAGGGGTAATGGAATGTTTCTGTATTTTCAGCAACACATTCTTCAATACTTCCAGCTTAGCTATGGGTAATATTGGTACATACTTTGTCCCATGATTGTGGTACACGAACATATATATCTACTAAGTTATAAACTATGCTCTCCCTAAATAAGAAACGCCTAGGTGTATTTTCACGAATTGTATCTGCTAACTTCATCAAATTAGATAACACATCTAATTGTGGATTAATTTCACGGTATAAACGATAAAATGTCTGTGAAATTGTATTGCTTATAAAAAGTCAACGAAGTGAAGGCGTCCGTTCTCAGTTGGGCGTTGTTTTCAATATTGATTGTAACCACCATGAGCCCCCAAAACTTTTCTGATCCGTCTCGGCTTGGACTGAATAAGTCTTTGAATTCGACCTTGTGGAAATCTGGCCCATTCCTCTTGCAATGCCGGCTAAAGTTGACCTAACGTCTGGGGCGCTGACGTTCGCGTACGCGTGGACAGCGGCAAATGCTGTGTGAGGCCTGTCATTATCTTGGTGGATCAACTCCCTCTGGAGGTCAATGATCGGGACGATGTGAATTCTTAAGATTTCGTCTCTGTACCGAACTGAAGGCGCACGAAGTTAGATTTCTCTGTGTATGATATGAAGGTATATTTCATGTACTAATATCACCTCTGCGTTTCTTTTTTGGGGAGAGTTAAGACTGAAAACTAAACGTCATTATAACGGCGTCCATAACGTCCATGCCATGTCGTAGCTTGATCTTTAGGATTGAACAACTTCGTTGGCAGTTTCTGACAGAGATTGTGACAATGATATCTGCCTAGCGACTATGGAAGGTATTTTATATTTGATAAAACATGAATTGTAAAATTGGTAGATTAAACACACCTTAAGAATTCCTTGAAGATGTCAGCCTCAATATCCGGGATGGTTACCTCCCCTTTTTCCGCCAGGGGGCCACAGAACATGGCATAGAACACACAGCTCCGACTGACAAGAACATAGCGGTGAGCTCGGACCACCTGTTTCCGTGACCCCACCCGGAAGGTGACGTCACTGAAGTCTTCGGTTTCGAGCATTCGCAGATTACACTGTGTAAGTGTCTTCCTTGCCTGCCAGTTGTCCACATACCCAGATTCTTGTCTTTTAACGGACATCGTGTAGTTCTGAACAGAGAAAACGAGAATATATATATCACATCAAATATATATAAGTGCACCAAGTAGTGTAAACATAATTCGAATTAAGAATAGAAATTCACATTTCATTGTTCTCTTTCAATTTTCAGGAATCCGTGTGTGTTATATTGAAAACTCGGAGATCCGCGTTGTTTATTTAAATACTCAATACTCTCATATGTGAACATATTTTAGAAGGTTTTGAAACTTTTTTTGCGTGAAGATAAATTAATGTTTTTGGACCATGTTGATCTTAAGATAATTGCTAATGTTTTAACATTTCAACATAGTACTTTGAACACTTTTTAAAGAATTGCCGAGGGCCCCAAAATGCCAAAAAACGTCTTTTCAAACGACAAATGCGACTGCATTATTTTAAAACTGTTTTCACATGTCCTTATAAACAAATGATGTAGGTATTAGATGACAAAAGAAATTTTATCATGGTAGCAGGAATTAACGTCAAAATTTTGAATTGAAGTAAAATGTGCCCATACGGGACATTGGCAGGATCATCGATTAAATCAATATATTCACATAAACTACTAATAGATAAGAAAAACAACGAATAATCTGTTCAATTCTTTATTTGGAATGATATACCTTGTCCTTTTTGATAAAACCAATGGATCTATTAATGTTATTGAATTTTCTGTCCCTTTTGACAGAAATGTGATTGGCAAGGTTCAGGAAAGCATGCTAAATATGCAGACCTCGCCTTTGAAATGTCTCGCTTGTATCCCAAGTTTGGTTTGGTACCTCCTGATTTCCTGGCGCAGATCAGGAGAGTGCCCGGGTTCTCCACCGGGAGCACAACCCTTCTGACACTATGGATAATGCAGAGGACTGCAGTGTTGGGGAGTCATATTCTCCGGAAAGTTCTTGGTGGGTTCGACTAGGCAGCGTTTCATGGGAGAAGCTTCTGAGATAGTCACCCGATGATTCATCATCGACACGGTCTTGGGCTAGAAGAAGTATCTTGTTCTGAATCCTGAAATTCACGGAGAACCAGTGGAGGGCCTTCAGGATAGGTGTTAAATGCTCAGTTCGCGCGTTACAACCCTTGCTGCATTCTGGAATCGCTGTAACTTTGTGAACAGAGATGGAGGAATAAGGAAGAAAAGAGAGTTACAATAATCCAGTCGTGAAGTTTTGTGGTTTCACAGTCAAGAAGATGTCGGATTTTACTGATGTTGCAAATGTGGAAGAAGCAAGCTCTTGCTCAAGTTCTTGACATGTTGGATTGAAATATGATTCCATAAGTTTTAGCAGATGGAGTGGTTCCGACATTGCTGTTGCCAATGTTAAGTGACAGACCCGCAGACACTTTCAAAAGCTGCTGTTTAGAACCAAGTAGTCGAAATTCCGTTTTACTGTCATTTCATTTGATAAAATATCACAGTCATCCAGGATATGACTTCGCTCACACAGGCTTCCAGCAGCGGGTTCAGATGGCTTTATAGATCTGTAGATTTGATTGTTGTCAGCATAGAGACGAAATATCAAGCCATGTTTCCTGATTATATCACCTGTTGGAAGGATAAATTTGCTGAAAAGCAAAGGCCCCAGAACTGAACCCTGTGGAACACCAACGTTAACTGTTATCGGGAGTGAGGTCACGTTGCCAATCTTGACAACCTGAGTTCTGGCGGACAGATAGGATTTGATCCAAGAAAGAGTCTTTGCTGTCGTTCCTCCAAGCGAGAAAGCAGTATCGTGTGGTCTTGGGTGATGACAAATCAAGAAGGACCAGCAGAGTGACATTCTGTTAGTCCATTGCCCTCATGACGTTGTTATGGACACGAGCAAGCGCAGCGTCTGTGCTGTTTTTATTTGCAAGCACTCTGGAAGGGTTGAGGCAGGTCATTATTGAGTCGTTATTGAATAGGTGTTCTTCAAGCCTTCGTGAATTATTTTTCTCCAAACATTTTGAAATGAAAGACAGATTAGATACTGGCCGGTAGTTTTTCTTAGCTCCTCCGGATTTAAATTTGCCTTTTTAATGAGAGGAGTGACGACTGCCTGTTTGAAAACTTTGGGAACCATGGCATCTCTCAATGAGATGTTGACCATGGATAATGGACTGGTGAGAGAATCGAAGCTTGCTTTCAAGAGCCATGTTGGTATGGCTTAAAAAAGTCTTATTTCTTCCGGATAGGTAAAGGAGACTTCAAACAAATATGTACCACTGAAACATTGCTCATTGAAAGCCTGACACTGCAGAGTATGTCAAATGCCAAGTTCTTGATGTAGATCCCATGTCTTGGCGTGGAAAAAAATCTGCAAATCTGTCGGCTAGAGTACAGTTTGTATTCCGCTTCAAGAAAAATGAAATTGCTGCGTTTCTATCGAGGTGCAAACAAATGCTCGTTTGGCTGCTAAAGCTTTATTGACATTATTCCTGGCAGTTTTGAACAGCTGGCGATGAAATTACCAATTTTGAACGACGCCATTGTTTTTCAGCTTCATGGCATATCTGTTTCTGCTTGCGGATGTTATCGTTATACCAGCCACAGTGAGGACGAATGACAACAGAACTAGACTTCAGAGGTGAGGTTTACGTCGTGCTTGAGAATATTTCGCTCATATGACGACGTGCATGCGTGTGCATGCGTGTGTATGTGTATGTGAGTCTGCTTGCACTAGCCCAGACTTAAGCTAGCCCACAGAGATACCATGCCGCAGTGGAGCATGAATACCCCACTCAGACACATTATACTGACTCCGAGCCGACCAGTCCTTGTTGTACCCATTAATGCCGAGCGCCATGGAGGGACCAACAAGTACCATATTTTAACGTCTTTTGGTATGACGCGGCCGCGGATCGAATCCGCGACCTTCTGCTCGGGCGGACGCTCTAACCACGACACCACGGAGGCAGAGGCGGTGACTAGACTTCAGAGGAGCATGCTTATCGAATATTCGTGATAAGCAAATATTTATTATCCTCATCAACTCCGCAAGAATCAGAGAGTGACTGTAGCAGCTTAGAACATTCAATGTCATAAGAACACTGTCTAATGTCTATATTTCAAGTCTTCCTGTAGCTAATTTCTTTTCTCACCTGCTTAGGTTCACTTTGCTTAGTTTGATAGATCACTGAATAAGTGAATGATCACATATCAGTTTGTCACTAAGGTCAACGACATACAGAATATCATAACTATCCTTCGTTATGACTAGGTCTATTGTATGGCCTGATAGATGAGTTGGCCCAGACACGTGCTGTAGGAGATCGAAAGATGCTAGCATGTCACAGAAAGATGAAGCAAAGGAGTCAGACGCGGAATCCGTATAAATATTGAAATCCCCCATTCGAACCAGATGACCTGGTTCAAGGGCACTTATAAGGGCTGAACTAATGTTCAGGAACACTTGCCACATGATTTTGGTCGCTTTTGCGAAGAAAACCCATTCCAGCTGCGTTAGTGGAGGTAGCAATCAATACCAATTTACAGTAAGTTATATACCACCTCATCATCGTAATTTATGTGATATTGAACAAACATTTCATTACCTAGCTCTTCCCGGAACATTCCTGCATCATCGATTTATGTGTTAAAGAAAGTTTTGTTCACTAAATTTCAAAGAAATAAAAGGTGCGTCACAAAAATATAGTTTTGTTTCATTTTTCGCGATGATCCAATGTTTTCATATGGGAACATTCCTTATCTCCGGAACCGTACGTGATATCACTATGAAATGTTGGATCTTTCTTAGTCACACCATTATGAGACTCTTCTGTAAATTTAAAGTGTTTCTGACAATGGAATCTAGTATCAGTATGATAAAGGTTAACTCTTGCCTCTAGTAGTAGTAGGTGTCCCCATACCCGGAAAACGTCCAAGCGTTATTCATCTACATTCGGCAAAATCGAAACAGCTTTGATCTCTCGGGAGCGCGACCGCCCACACCCACAAAGTAAATAATCCCATCCCGGTAAGTAAATAAATACCCCGCGCCCGATGTAACGGCGCGCGCGTCTTTCGAAGTTTCATAAGACACTAAATTAAGCCGTGTTCAAACAACACTCCGCGAGAGAGGTAAAAACGAAGTGGCGTGGCGCCTACGTGTCAGGTACAAAAGCGCCCGCAACGCTCAATCGCTTTCAATCATCCCGTGGACTACTGTCGCATCGCAATCTATCATGAAACAATATAAATGGGTGATTATCGCATTTCCACCTCGAACTCAAAGGCAACATTTTGGTGAAGAAGTAATTATATCCACGTGCGACGAATGGTTTCCCACAAAGAGGGAGTGTTTAAATCACCTTAGATATAGAAGAGGAAATCTTCTGGACACGGATTTACCGGATTCCTGGGGTTCCGTTCACTTTTTCATCTATTCCAGAAAATTGGTTACGGATTTGTTATAGTTCAACAAATTCATGGATTTAATAGTGGACGAAGTGGAATCGCACAACATCAATCTATGTCTGGAGGAACTTTTAACTCGTGCCTACATAGATACAGCCCGTCAGAGCGATATCCCTATACAAATAACTCGGGATGAAATATCTAAATTCGTCAAAGAACTATTATTATCTTCTATCGATGAAGTTGAAGTCACCCGCCGCTGGAAAATTCTCATTTCTGAAACCCCGATCCTATGGAATGTATCGCCTCTATACTTACTTAAATACGAGTGCCGAGATTATCGTGACACAATATTGAAAACGGACCGCTGGATAGAGCGAGTAATCAAAATTATTTTACGCACCCAAACTCGGTCAATGTAAGTATGAACAGACCAGAACTTTACCGACGCAACTATTTTGATCCAAGACAACCGGGAGCATTTGCCGGAGCACAGAAATTCGCCCAAGCCCTCGCGAACGATCACCCAAACGTGAAATCGCGAGATGTTTTAAAATGGTTACAGAAACAAGAAGCCTATTCTCTTCATCAGCAGCCATCAAAGAACTTTAAGAGAAACAAGGTCATTGTCAGCGGAATCAATGTTCAAGCGGACGCGGATCTATGCGA